GCACAACCGAGAAGGAAGGGCGAAGTGATCGCAGACAGAACAGACAAGGCGGACAGACAAGGCAGAACAGGACGGAGAGTTTCTCGGTGTCTAACGTTTGAAATGATCATGTTATGAAGGCAGCCTATCTGGGAATCCGGCTGCAATGCATAAAGACGGACGGCGCATTGGCACCTGCTCTGGAGCCCAAAAATGTGAGCCGGCCAAAATGGGTGCCAAAAAGCAAGTTTGAGTGATGACTGCATGACAGAGCCCTTGAGGCGTGCTCCAATCAACACATAGACCCTGCCTCTGAAGAAATAGAGGATGACTGCCAAAGTCATTCCCGTGGACAGTTTGGCCAAGGTCTCCCGAATGATAGCCGCCCACAGATAGCAGCTGCTGGGGCAAATTGACAGCCCGACCTTGTCTAGGGCGAAATTTTCGCAAACATGATGGTGTATCCGTTCGTCATCCCCACAGGAAATCTTCGGATGCTGGCGTCCGCATGTGTTTGACGAAGCATCTGTTTGCCCGATCCCGCCCTGGCATAAGATGTTTCTCAGGGATGTCGGCAGTCGTTCTCTGTCGGCTTTGGATGCTGTTTCATTGAGTGGTGTGCTCGGAGGAAGGAGCTGTAAACGGCAACTCTCAAATTTATCGCCCTCTTCATCCAAGATCGCTCTTTGCCCGCTTGCTGGCCCTCTCCTCGCCACTCTCGTCCGCGCCCGGCGTCCTCTCCTTTGAATTTATCCCTCCATTAGGCATATCACTCTCCACGTCCTCTACATCCCTCTTTTTCTTTCTCCCTCTCCCTCTGCCCCTCCCTTTCGACGTGCCTTCCTCGCCCACAACCTCCCCCAGATTCACCAGATCGTCCACGGCCAACTTTTGCCCTTCCTTGCCCTCGTTCGTGTCGAACAGTTTCTTCTTATTGTCAATCTCTCTCTTCTTCTTGAACATCTCCTGCACTCTGCCTAGTTTGATGGCGTCTTTTCGGATCGCGAATTCAAAGTCGGAGACCTTCAGTTTTGCGCGCCCGGAGTAGACGGAGACGCCGACGGCATTGTGGCATGTCTCTATTATGAAGTCCGTTAAGATCTCGTCTAGGACGCGGAGTGTTTCGGGAAAGGGCTGAGTAAATGGTGTAGGTGGGTGAGTGATGTTGGGTGTGTTCTGAGCAGAGAGGTATTGCCGTGATGCTGCGCCGATGGGTTTGGCAATATCGGGGTGCGTAGGTGCGCCATATGCGTACAGAAGGGCCGAGAGTTCGGGGCCAAAGTTCAGGTTCACTTTGTGCCGGCCGGCTCGGGCGCGAGGTTCCATGACTGTAGGAGGGAGCGACTTGATGAGGAGAAGATTTGACCGTTTGAATTTGGGTCGACTAAAGGTCAAACTAAGTCGGGAATGAAAACAAAAGGGGACGGAAAATAGCCAGATCACACGCCCAGACAGAGGCCAGCAGTGTCGAGCGAGACCATATGAGAAGGATAGACGGGAGAGTAGACGGGAGAGTAGACGGGAGAGTAGACGGTGCAATAGAGCTGCTGTATGGAGTACATGCTACCGCAGAACGAAGCCGAGTGAAGATGGAAGTCGCTCCGCACGAGTCGCTGGCAAGGCTGAAATTACGCCTGCCAAGCTCAACCCGGATTGGAGGATGGATGATGCCAGCCTCGCCAGCCATGTCCCTAGGGGCAAGAGGGTACTCATCTCGCCATCTCGCCCTCTGACCAGCTGTAAAAAGGTGACACCGAGGAACATTCATGTTATCCAGACGGAAACTCACCTAGAAGAACAATGACTCCCCTCGTCGATTGCCTTTATGAAAGCCAAAGAGATCAAAGTCAATGACCGCACAGGTAAACTCCGATAATGGATGCTTTCGCTATCAGCGACAAAGAACGCCCCTTCAGCAAATTTTCTGTGATATTGAGACAGATCTGGCGTCACTCTAAGTTATTATGTTATTGGGCAGATCTTGCAGACCAAACGAAATGAGACAAAAGGTCGAAAGCGATTGATGTCGATCAAATAGGGGGTGGTATCCTTGACTCTGGCGACCTCTTATTCGGCGAATAAGTGTAGACTCAGATATCAGAAGCTGCCACAGAACTGAGTCAGGTCTCCGGAGCTGGCGAAGTTGCGATTGGAGCTTGGTGTGCCGCCTGATGAACGTACGCCATGGCCGCAAAAGCATGGTGTTGAGTACTCAAGGTCGAATTGCTAAAACCTGGTACACAATCCGGCGCACAAATTTGTTGTCACGAACTTCTCGCTGGTGTGAAACGCACCATGCAGAAGACGGTTATCACGGTTGTCGATGTAACACCCTTCTACAACATCGGATAGGACACCAGGATTAACCAGGTTCAGTACATAGATGCTGATATAGCTTAAGGCCCCACATCTTTAGGACGCATCACCGGCGCAGGTACAATGGCTCCGGGAGTCGACTTGTGGATAGCCAGGTCTGCGTAAGTCTCCGCAGAAACACTTGTCTACCGTCCGCGATTCAAAGTAGCTGTCAGGTAGGGGATGGCAGCATGGAAGGCGAGCTTGAACTCGAAGCAGACGACCCTTGTGTTACAGGAGTAGCAGCCGAGTTCATGATTTACTACCACCTGAGACTGACCTTTTGATAGGAGAATCGTAGGGACATACTAGAGTTCTTCGAAGACAATGAACCGCCGACGCTGCCACCGACTGCTGCGGCGGCTACCACGACAACCACAACGACCAAGATCCACAAACACTTTCGACTGAACCAGGGCTTTGCTTGTGTGGGCTTTCCAATCTCACTTCGTCGATGATCAACATGGTTCGACGGAAGGGGTGAGGTGTGGGCAGTCGTATTACCTGTTCCAAGCTGCCAACAGTCTCTGAGATAGGCTTCGTATCGCTTTTGATCCTCTCGTTCCCGTGCAAAATCTTTCCTTCGGGTTCTGATCGTGAAGCAGTCTTTAGGCCTTGTGTTTCTGAATCGTCTGACGGCACAACCTGGATGCCCCCATGCTGGGATTTCTCGTATCTCACGTCCGAAAAATCCGTCGCCGGTGGAAAGCGCTTGGTCGGATAAACTGCACGCCCAAATCTCGATGTAAGGTGACTTTCGCTCTTGGAGTCAGGCCTTTCATGTTTTCAAAACAAGGTTTCTTCTCGTGACTGCTTGAGTTCTCGAAGTCAATGAGATTAGATGAAGCTGGGTGAGTGGAAGCAGTGCCATTAGGTCAAAGCCAGCCACATATGTAAATGGACAAAAGCGACCTCAAGTCTGTTAGCCCTGGCTCGACTGTTTGCTCCATGTATGCAGCGAGCCGAGTTCAAAAATAAGTGGTAGACTAGAAGTCCTTCGCTGTTAGAACCGAGGTGGCCTTGTTAGTAATGAGCATTGAATTTACCTTTTGAAATAGTGGTGCCCTACCCTTTGCCTACGCCTTTAGCTACGTTCGATATAGCGACCACTTCGTCGTTGTTGAGCCCTGTTGATCGACATGGGATGCAGCCTATATCTGGTGTCAGACTCTGTCGCTTATTTTCTGAGCCGCTGCGGACGCGAATCAACCTCCCTGGACGAGAACTTCCATAAGCTGGTCCGATGGAGAGTCTGCAGGAAGCCTCTTGATACATGTCTCCGGCTCTGGTTTGGCGGAGACTGGACGAGGAAGAAGGATGGACGAGGCAGAACACAAGGATGGTTCTGAGCGGGACTTGGTATGAAGAAGATGGAATGGGGTGTACGATTTGGAGACAATTACCTTCTCCTGGACCGAGATGTGCTCGTCCTGCGTCAAGCTCAGGACATAACCTTATGATGAAGGATCCCTACCACCAAATACCTGGAAAAGCAGGCACCAATTGATGGGCTCTTCTAGACTAGAGTCCTTTTCAGATCGCCGGCTCGTTTTGAAATCCTCAAGTACTATTATTCAGCAGAGGCACCTGTTGTGAATGCCTGAAGGTCGGGCATTTTTTGTTGGGGTTCGTAGCATGGATCATCACTTGCCGCAGCAATTTACAGGCCCTTACGTACGCAGCTATTGCGCCTTCAAGATCTCCTTCATTGTCGAGAAGAACCCCCCTTTTAGCTTTGTGTAATGAAGCCTTCACGGTGCGAGCGTGACCATGATTGAGGCTCTTGTCGTAAGTATTACTTGCCAGTAACGATGAGATATGGTCTTGAAGACCTCCGTCTCCTTGAGCATAGATGATGACTTTTCTCTCCTGGAGGATAGCCTAAGCTTGATAGCTCTCTGATATTAGTTACGGGCCAGCGTCTATTTTCAACATTCCTCATCTACCTAGCAAGAAAGCAGAAGAATGGGCCAGACAGAGGGTAGTATGGCATTCTGGGCATGCACTTGAGTCTATTCGAACGCCTCCGCAAGAGCAGTCATCATGAATTACATGGTTAGAGCTCAGAATCAGCGTTCTTTCACCTCATACTTTGTTTCACTGCCTCATCACAGGCAGCACACACCCGGATAGAAGATATTGATCCATCATGTTTCTGTAGGTCCTTTGGCAAGACATACCGGAGACACGTCAAGGGGATCAATATTGGGAGCAATATCATCCATGAGAACACGCAAGGGCTGACGCAATGGTGGTATAGTATAATGGTGACCTGACGTGATAACGCTGTGCTCGTCAGCAAACCTAGCTTGCTTGAAGAGACATCTCAACGCCGACTGTAAACGAGATGCTTTCGGCGATCTCTGCCCGAGATCTAGGTGCATTGTCTTTGGGAAACGGAAAGTTAACCTGGTTGCAATGAGCGAAGACATAGTTGGTACTAGGAATAATGCTCGAGGTGCCATCACGCGCAAATACAGAGAATGAGTCTCCTGTCGACCTTGCATAGTCAGAAGTCTGAAGGCGGATCGCCAGTTCTCGATTTTCAGCGAGCATGCGTTCGACCAAATTCACCACCCTAGCAGACGCCTCGGCTGCATCGAGCTGGCTCTCACTTCATAGCCACGTGCAAGTCGCAAGGCAAGACCAGAGTTCATGGTTAAAATCTACCACGTCAAGGTGTTCAACATTAGAGCCAAGGGCATCTGGTGGCTGTCAATTCGCTGGGTGATGTTCGCCAACCCATCACTATACCACATCCACCTTAGTCGGTCAATGGCTCCCATATTCTCCGTTCTGATGCGATTCAGGATGGGCTCGAGCCCTGACTGAGCACAGACACAGTCGGTAAGGGTAGTCACGCCCTCTTCCAGGGTCGGAAGGGATGTCCGCCATTGCGGCGTAATGGTGGAACTCTTGAGATACGACTCGAGTTGACGCAGGATGCTTGTCAAGTCCCTGGTCTCATTCAGGACGTCCTGAATGGTCCCTGGCGCTTTCAAAACACTGATACAAAGTGAAGTCAGAGTGATGGAAACGCTGTAGGTTACTTCGAGTAGCCCTGCCACTGTCGCGGCGATGGACAATGGCGCTGGCATCATCAATGGGGGAATACAGAACATTCAACCATCGAGTTCGAAGTTGGGAGTTTAGTCGCAGCCACAAGGGTCCTTGTCCAGCCCGCCTCGCTGCATTCGCCAAGAAGAGATCACGTGATTGCAAGGCTGATCTAAAACTAGTCTTGTTATAGTTAGCGTCTTGCTTTTCTCGAAACCACCTTTCAACATCAACGTAGACAAATCTGTCTTGTATTCCACAACGCCACCATAAACGACGCAGAACAACCGTGCCACTTCATTTCCTTCGATGCGCACAGGCCCCCAGGTCTTTCCTCCCATTTTTGGCGAAAAGATCGGTTCACAATGGTATGTCTCTTAACCTCCATTCCCCCGAACACAAAAATGATGCATACTTGGGAATCTCTCCAAAATACCCAAAAGAAAAACCGTTCAAATTTCTTCTAACTAGCGACTCCCGGCGCCACATAGACAGCCATATTCAACTTCCAATCCCTCCTCCTAGTCATCCTCCTCATAATTTGCACGTCGACATACGTGCACTCCCTGGCTCCCGGCGTTATGGACAGGAATAAAGACGGGTAAGCAGAGCCCCTTTTTCCTCCCCAGTACTGTCTCTCAACCTTTCTGCTTTCTCTTTCTTTTTGAACCCCAGGCTGATCAGTGTCTCGAGGGGAATCAGCGTGATGGGCATATTCTGGAAATGCGCGCGGATAGGCGAGCGCCTGAGTCCGTACGTCAGCATCTTTTGCATTGCCATGGCTGTAAGTTAGGTCTTGCTCCCTCTTTACTTGACATTCGGAATCTCTCTGTGTAACCTAGTCTCGTTGTGATCGGCACTCTTCCTCCCAAGAAATTGAGCTTTTGACCCTCCCCACCTTTCCTACAGAAGAAACGGGATCCGTGTTGCCTTGTTACTAACTACTGACGGCAGTGCTCGATAATGATGGGCTATTAAACAAATCAAATCTCTCTTCTTCAAAGTTGTGGTCGCGCCGGGGGGATCATGGTAACCCGCGATAGACGCGTGGTGTTTGGAGTTATGTCGCGGACAACATGAACTGGGAACTTCAATTCAGGGGTTTGAGGCAAGGCGGTACGTGGAGAGGATATCAATATGCCTTGACACGATCCACGTCGGTATCCAGTTGCTCTTTTGGGAGGTGGACTATATATGAGTTGTGTCATGCTCTGCGCTATACATGAGATGCATACCAATACACTACAATTACCATGTCAAGCCCGGTTTCACTCCCATGTTTCTCGACAGACATACACAATGCTCCATAATGTCCTAGAAAAGGCCCATGCAGCGCTGGTACTAAGAAAACAGCACCCCCGGGCATCAAATCATCCCATTCAGCGTTCGGCACGGTCATACTTTGACTTCTTAGGTTCAGAGGCAATACTGCATTCCATACTCTAATAGAAACGACCGTGATTGTGTCGTCCAAAGAAAGACAACGAAGAGTCTGAGCGCTTCACTTGTAGGTGTCATACACGAAAGGGAAGGTATCCCCCTCCGGAACTCGTTTCCCCCGCGTGCTCCTCCCCGGATATTGATTGTCTTGCCTCCCCTCTAGAAATACCACTTGACCCCCGCGAGCGTCAACCACCGGCTCTTTTGGCGCTCCAAGAAACTCACGGAAACTCATGGTCGTTGTCTCTATATCAGCTTGCGGCACTCTCCTGTCAAACCGAATCCCGCAGTGCAAGATCGCAGTGACTTGCACGTCCTCTGGATAACGGCAGACTTCTTGATGAGGGTCACTGAATTCCTTTCTGTGTTGTCGGCACTGGTAGCTCAGGAGATTTCCGATCAATTGCTTCTTGGATGGTCTTTTGTGCGGGGTTTTGCCAGAAGCGAAATTCTCCTCTTCGTTAGGCATAAGTAGTGACGGATCCATGTCAAACAGATTTCGAGACTTCTGCGGCTGCCAAAGTGGATCAATCCGACGCGGAGGAGGCACATAAGTATCTTGATCACCGATCTCGTCATCATCGGCTTCGGCTTCGGATTCAAACATAACGCCACGTGCTCGCAACTTTTCAATGGCCCGGGCTTCGTCCTCTTCCGTCCACGAAGCCCGCGCATTCTTGGTGGATAATTGACTAATAGGCTCCCGAATTTCGACAACAGAAGTCACTGTTTTCGACGGACGAGGCAATTCAGTTGATTGATGTTCAGATGCACTTGCGAAAGACGAAATTCTCGGTGTCGACAGGGCTCTCGGTAGTCCTATGGGTTGAGCAAATGTAACGTCCTCATCTGCCTCAGTTGCATGCCACGAAGGGGCTGAACTGGAGGACAGCACTTCCCGGCTCAAATATCGAGATTGTCTGGGCGCTACTTTGTGCTTGTCATCTCCCTCTTCTTCACTTGTCTTGTGACATACCTCAACAGCCGCCTGTTCTTCGCTATGAGTCGAGCTATGGCGGGGGTGTAGGAATGGCGACTGGGTCGTAACCTGTCCAGTAACATTAATAGGCGTTTCCGGTATATCAGGCATTCGGGGACGAAGAGAAAGGGCATCTGCTGGAGCTGCTGACTCTTTGGCTACCCCTTCTACTTGAGGTTCCGCCATATTTCTGATACTCTCAGGATTCTTGAAGTATGCGTTGATGAATAGACCACCCTCATCCTGAGTGAAGCCGTTGTTCACTGCCAAAGCTGAAGCGAGCTGTTCTGATAAGCTGTCGCTATCCTCCTCGTCACTGGGAAGTGCTTCAATAGCAGTAAGAGATAAAATCGACGGCATGACTGTCTCGATATTAGAATCTCGCGGTTTGTCGATCGAAGTGCTGCATCGACCACGCTTCTCAAGTATCCGAGCAGATAGCTCTGGATGTTGATTTAGACTCTGAAGGGATTGTGTAGTGGCAAGCGAATCCATCGAAGACCTAGAACCGCTGTCGCTGTCGCTCTGCCGCGCAGACGATCGTGGACGTGCGTCATCTGCCGACTTCTCTTCTGAAGCCTGCTTGTCGATTGTTTCCGGATCCTCTCCTGAACTGCTGCCTTCGACGAGTGACTCTGGAGAGTCAGCGTCAAGGTTGACTTGGACGTCGGTCGCTCTGCCCCCTTGAGCTAAAGAGCGCACAGCATCATACGTCGACATCTTTCTGGGCTCATTCTTCTTTCTCGGAACAAACATTGAATCTTCCCTTATGCAACGCTTCACAGTGCTATTGGTAAGATGTTGCTGAAGAGCTGAAGCTAAACTGTGAGACTGCACAGGATTTATTTGTCTTTCTATTTCTATTTCCAATAGATTCGATGCATCCTCATCGTCCGAAATCGTTATCGTCACCGGTTGCTGTCTTGCGCCGTCTATATCTTCGTCAGTTGTATCTATGTCGCTTGAAATCGTTATCGTTATAGGCGACGGTGTGATATTATCATTACCTATGGGCATATTAGAAGTTTTGCCATCGCTCGGTCGATTCACAGGCCTAATTGAGCATCGGGCACAGCGTACAATAGAACCTATAATCGATCTGCCGCAATCCTCGCATTTCTTCGCGCCGTTGACTTCTGTCTCTTTTCGAGGATCAGTTGGGAATTTAGCAGCCGGTTTTAATTTGTGCTCATCTCGGCGGTACGAGTGTAGGACTCGACTTCGTCTAGCCACACGCCTGACAGGAGCTGGTTGAACAGCTGTGGGATGCAGAGCCATTTGTTCTATGGTAGGATCTGCTGTCATTTGACCTATGCTAGGCCTTGACGGCAGCCTCACTGCTCGAGAAGTCGATTTGCGGTCTGTATCACAATTGGATAGCGGCAACTCATCAGTAGTTGAAGGCCTGTTTGGTCGCTGACGAGGTTGAGACGAAATTTTGTCGAGTGCGGATCCACGGCTTACCAGAGAGTTTGGCCGCTCAGCAATCGAGACAAGGTTCTCTCGCACGCTTGCTGTCCACGATGAGGAAGGAGAGCCATGTTTTGGTGAACATGGACTTGGAGCTGTTTGGTTGTTGCCGTCACTAACGCGGGCAGCCTGATTTGCCGTGGTTCTGGGAGAATCGACACTGGTTATCTGCATCTGCTCATACACTCCTTGATTTGACGCGCTACCATTGATTGCAGGTTGTATAGGGGCATCGAGTTGAACATCAGGGAAATGCGCCGGATCAAGGGCCACTGGGCTGATCATCCGACTAGTTGTAGATGTAATGTCAACCTGATGCATGTCTTGATCGGAATTGCTCAATGGCCCAGGATCAATGACAGAGTGGTCCACGGGAGAGGAGTGATCCATGCTGCTTCCGAACAATTCATCTTTACTGGTCGTGCTTTCCCGCTCCTTTAGACATCTCCCGCCACTGAAGCCATCGAGATTCTCGCTGCATCAAGTCAGCGTTATGACGCGCTTCAAGACTGTCCCGCTATCTTACCTTTGTCGTGGTTCGGGTTTTTCGCCGCAGTTATGATAACCTCTATGGGATGCTTTGCATTGGATAAGAGGTGTCACGCTGCTCCCAGGCTTGCGACAGGCTCTACACAGGTTCTTATTCCTAGAACCGCAAGTTGACGAGTTTGATGCGCTTTCCTCGGTTGAGAAGCGCGATGCCCGCTCGTTATTCATCTCGTGGTCAGCTTTGGGGAAGCTCAGTCTTAGCGATGGCTCGATGGGACTCTCTTCCTCGACGGGTTCCATCGAATTCTCCTCTTCATGCTCTGGTCCGCAATCCTGACTGACTGGAGGCACTTGAGGTAAGGTCACACTCAATGACGCATCTTGGTCTCCTTGAGTATCAGCGGACCCTCTCTTCCCAACCTCCTCAGGGAGCCCATTGGAGCCATTGACAACCATCGGCGTAACCCCATCCTGAGGGATTTTTGTCCTTGCATTGTCGCGTTCATCTCTGCTTTCTGGCTGGACAGGCGTGTGCGACTTGTAGACTTCCCGAACCTTTCTTCTTTCTAGATACTTCGGAGGTCTTGGTTCATGAAGAATGGAGACTTGACTCGGTCTTTGTCTGGCGTCTAGACTTAAGAGATTTTGCACTTTCTGTGGATTGTCAGGAATTTGTGCTTCATCTACCGCATCCATAGTTTCGGTGTCGGAACTTTTTGAGATGAACTCGTGCTTGCTACGCGCGGGACCTTTATAGCGGTCGTATCTGTCTCCTCTAGGAGGCGATTTTGATCCTAAGTCGCCATATAAGCCGTCGCGACGTCGGGGAGATGAGGGTCGATGACAATCATCGACAGCAAGTCTGCCCTCATTAACATCGTCACTATACCAGGGGGCTGCAGAAGATTTCTGCTCTCCGAGGTATCCAGGGGGTCGGGAGCTCTCATATCTTTCTGTTCGTGTAAGCCTTCTTTTTTCCCTCGATGAGGCGGTGACTTTAGGCTTGGCAGGGACGGTAGACCTTGACACCTTGGATGAATTCATAGAACTAGAACTATTGTTATCGTGAGTGCCAGACGAAGTATTCCGTGCCACTTTGGCCGCATGTTTGGTTTGACTCAAGGGCAGGATCTTGACTGTATCTGCATCATCGGCATCCATTCTAGCAAACGACGCCTCGCCTCTGAGAATCTCATCTCACAACACAACTCCGAGTTCGAAGAATGTGGCAGGCTAAACTGATTTGATGGTCAAGTTAGCAGATAAGACCAGCAAACGTGAAGCGAAAAGCGGCGTGATTGCGGGTCTATCTCAGGTCTTTTCAGTTAAACAGGTCTTCACTTTGTGCCGCTAGGGTTGCTGCGAGGATGAGGCAAGCTTTGACAGCAAATAGAGATCACAGACCACATGCGCTCCCAGCATTTCCAGCCATCAAACCACATCTCGGCAAGAAATCGTGTTAAGAATGTGCGCTGCTGCCATTGGCTCAAATATCCATTGGGTCTCGGAAAATGAGCCCCATATTAGCAGCGTTCATCAGTTGTGCTTTTTGTACACGAAGTCTCCAACAATGCAGCTCCAACTGTTGAGAGTGCATCGTCCTCGCGTAACTTCGTATCGTCAAGGATGGAGAGCTGGCAAGAAAGCGGGTGCGCATGAAGTCGGATTCCTCCATTGGGCACAAAGAGCAAGTTCCCAACAACGAGCTACCTCTAACGATGGCTGTTTTCAATCGGACCTTTTACCATTGACTCATCATTCGGGCAGGGAATTGGAAAGGTCAGAGGATCCATTGCAAAACAGGAGATTGCTTACAAATGGCGATTAAGCACAGTTCCCCTATGCCGGGTGTACCATTCAGCCGCAAGCTCCAATCCCATTATCAACTGTATGGATTCATACAGAGACACAGTTTGCGAGTCAGCAGCACAACTGGCTTTTGTTGCCCAACTTGTTCCAAAAAGAGGCGGTTCGTGGTCGGTGAAGACTGCCACCCTCAGATAGCGATCCGTGTCAACAACACACAGGGATGGGGAGCGGCAAAACGGCTAAAAAGAGGTGATATTCGTCATAGGAGAGCGGTCACTGATAGAGTCGTTCCTGAGCAGGGTGAACAGGTCCAGACAAATCTTCCTACCGTACACAAGGGGAAGACGATTCCCGTTGCGATCCCATAGGGGAAGACAATGAATAGAGGAAGAGAATATTAAGTAGAGGTGAATATGAAGAGAGTTGAGAGGCGGAGGCCAAAATAGAGGAAGAGCTAAGCGCCCATGGACATCTCAATTGGCTGGAAGTCCCCCGCGTTCTTGGCGGGCGCTTGGCGGTAGGCTGCGTTCCGCCAATTTTATATTACTACGTGTAGCCTCTCGCAACGGCGATTGATGGGTCTAGACTTGGTGTCTCTCGGGTTGAGCGCATGTCAGAATCCTTGTGCATATCTCTCATCCCGATCCTTAGTCAACGCGCCTTTTTTTCAGGCAGAAGGCTCGGCAGATGCGTCTATTATTAAAAGACGTACTATTGGTACACGTTAGCGCCTCCAAGGGCGTGGTCTTCAATGGCGTCGTTGAACCCATAGCTTTCGAATATCCCATCTTCCTCAATATCTTGTCTGCTACCCGCGATTGATTGCTGAGAGTCGCCTTCTGTATCTGCCGCTCCATTCGCATCATCTTGCCACTTGAGGGCCACGTCAAGGCCGTCTGGAATCCGCCGTTCGTCCAAAACATATCTGACCAGCTTGGCAAGCTGGCTTTGGTCGTACTTTCCCAAGAGAAATGCATAACCTCTCTCTGTGGGTTGGACATCCCGTGCTAGCATCATCCGCCAGATTTTCTCTGCGGCCTCTTCTTCACCGTGTTGCAAGAAGCCACAAAGTACTTCGCTCCACGTTCGCTCGGTCGGTAAGCACAGATCACGCTCAATCATTGCTTCAACCACGTCTACCGCTTTTCTCAGGAAGAAACGGCTGCGCGCGTAGAAGTGGATGAAACCGTTGTACAAGATGTCGTGTTTGGCGCATTCGAGAATACTCTGGTCCCCCTGTTTGATCATGTGTATGATCCAGTGCCACAACGCTGAGACAAGTCGTTCGTCTCGTTGGCAGAGAACATAGGCCCAGATTGTAAATCCGAGGACTGCCGGTGGAGGTTGATCAAGTTTTTTGGAAAGACTCTCCTTGGCCGGCAAAGGGTTGACGATCCCAAGCTTGACAAGGGGGGCCCTGTCGTAGGCTCGATCGTAGATCGCGAGAAGATGGGATACCGATACTCCAGAGGGTAATTTGCGGTCAATTGTGCAAACAACCCTCACGATATGCATCATATATGTTACCAAGTAAGGATACCGGTAAAGATCTTCGCGTTCGTGGATAGCAGACATGACTTCATCCAGCTTCTCCCGATTCTGTCGCTCAAAACTATCCTTGAGCAAGAAAAGGTGACTTCGTTCGTCAACGTGGATATTTCGGGCTTCCATAAAACGGAAGACCTCCCACGCAACGTCCGGCACGTTTAAGGAAACTGCTCGCTCGATAATGAGATTATGTGCCTTTGCATCCATTGGCATGCCAAGTTCAATCAGCTTGGGAAGAGTCCTGAAATTACCCACAGTGTCAGATTCTTCAACCGTGTCAATTGTTATGAGGTTGGCACAGCGGTCAAGAATCCCCACCTTGTGTTCTTCCCTCTGGCTTGGTGGGATGCGTGAGAGGAGTTCTATTGCTCGATCTGCGTCGCCAAGTTTCGTAAAGTGGTCCACCATAATTAGAATGAGTCGCGGTGGTACAGATGCATAGTTCCGGAAGACGGCGTCGATGATGTTTTCGCAATGCTCGACATCGTTGTGCCGCAGGAGGAGAACGAGAAAGTGGGATGGTATGGCCTCCCCCGGCAATGTCCAAATGCGAGAGACCAGAGCAATTTGCTTTGCGAACAATTTTTGGAGATGGGGATCTGCACCGATCTCATCCCGGTAGACCAGATCCAAGTAACAAAGGCACTCGCACCGAGTTCTCCAATCGCGAGGGAACATCGGGATGACAGAGAGTATGAGGAGGGTCTTCCGAGCACTGTCGGCAAGGCTTCCAAGCAGAATGTACGCAAGATGTCGCGTCTTACTACGAAGGGACATCTTGAACCACGCTTCGCGAAGCTCTTCCAGAGTACGATCGCCAACAAAAGCTTCCGCCACTTGTTTGTGCACATCTAACTCTTGACGCGCCTTCGTGTGATCGCCGGCTGGCGGAAACACCAGCTTCTTGTACGCCTTTTTCCATGACCTGCTAAACCAGCCGTTTCCAGGCGGGTATCCTAAACCTTCCTGAGATCCAACGTCAGGAGACTGAGGGTTTTCGAGGTCGAGCGGCCCGGACTCGGAAACATTAGAATCGAGGACTTCGGGCCCGAGGGATCCGGATTCTAGGGCAACAGATTTCGAAGCTGGGGGATAGGGCCATGTTGCGCCTGACCCGCTAGCTTTAAGTATAGAAACTGGCGAAGGACCAGAGAGCTTGCGAGACACTAGATGCTTCGAAACGCCAGGTCGAGCCTTCTGGGTGCCAAATATCCGGTCCGAGAGTGATGTAACATCTTGTAGTCTGCCCTGGCCTCGAGCACCATGGCCATCTTTCCGTAATGGAGGACGGATGGACTGTACCCTGGACTCCGCCGGCGACAGAGCTTTCGTGCTCGAAAAAGGTACGGATTCGGTCGAATCTTGCTGCGGATCCTTGGGAGCGCCCAACTCTGCCGTATTTGCTGTAGATAAAGAGTGAGCTCCCTCCGGACGCTCCGTAGACGCCTCAGTTAGGACAGAAGGTTGATGAAGCAATCTGGACCTCGGTCGGCCGTGAGTGACCAGATCGAGGGAAAGGGTGTCGAAACAACATCGACACCTGCCGTAGGTTGCTAGATTATTGTTCAAGCATCCTCTTAGAGTGCTAATTGACTTATTGAACATTCAGGTTTCCGGGGCATCTGGCTCTAGTTCCCGACGACAAGTAAGGGGCGGATGGTAGATGGGAAGGTAAGGTGTGACGGGCTTGGACTGCGGACAAGTTGACACGCAGTTGTTGAAACTCTTTTGCGGGCGCAGCCTGGAAAGGGAATTTTCCCGAGTGAAGAATACTCAAATTCCAAGGGACCACTCAAGAACACTTTGCCGTCGCCGTCTTTCCTCACCAGACCCGATCTCCGTGGTATATGTTAGTAGCGGCATGATCTTGTACTCGAGAAACGATCGGTAGGATAGAAAAGGACAGTATCCCTGCGATGTCGGCCAGCCGTGGCGCCCTAGATGCTGCTGCCATCGACAGAAAAGCTCGCTTGGCGAAACTCGCATCCCTGAAGCGCAAGCAACCAGGCTCTGATTCCACAGTTTCGAGTTTACAAGCGGATACCGAAGAGGAACACAAGCAAATACCGCCTCAATCCACCACCAACCAGTATCTCTCAGGCCGAAACTACGATCCAACAACGAAAAGCGCGAAGCTTGGGTTCGAAAATGCGCCCATTGGTGACGATGTCGAGACTCTTGAAGGGCGGGCCGATCGCATTGTCGCATCTACTGCAGAGCAAGCCGCCAAATATGAGCTGGAGGCAGAGAAGGGCATTGATTTGTTCAAGCTGCAGCCGGGGAAGCCAAACTGGGATTTGAAGAGAAACTTGGCCGAGAAGATGAAGATTCTGGATGTGCGCACACAAAACGCCATTGCACGTCTCGTGAGAGAACGCATTGAAAATTCGAAGAAACACGCTCTAGAAAGGAGGGCAGTACAACCGCAGTCTTCGAGCGAGAAGGGAGAACAAGGAGAGGAGGTGGGCATCGAAGGCAGTACACTTGTCGAGAGTATACATTTGCGGGAACAGGAGGAGGAACGAGAGGCCGCCCTCGAAAACGAAGAAGACGCCATTTCGTGATCGACGACACGGCCCAGCGACAGTTGCACCAAGTTGACGGTCAGAAAGCCGAGTTGACCGAGAATGCACCAACAGCGGCCCGTCCTTACCCTTGTTAAATACACTACGGTTAGAAGGAAGTCGTTGCCTCGCGTCACGCGCGAAATCTGGATCCTGTTTCTCACGATGCCCTTCAATATCGGAAGCTCACAGGCCAAACGCAGCGCCAGGTGGAATGATAACCATCTGGGCTTAAATTAAGGTGCTTTGGGCAATTCTCTGCAATCAATCAGAATCCCTTACTGATTGTTGCAGCAGGCAGCGCATTTGGCGCGGGTATGCTGCTCCATGAAGTGTGAGCAACCAAAGGGGGATTGAGCAGGAAGTCTCGCTGATACAAAGCGCTGGCCCAGGATGTCTAGGAACTTGCGCCAAATGACATCTTTGAGAACTACAGGCGAGTAAGCTTCAGAAATGAGCATGCAACGCCGAGCCATGAAATTTCAATATCCGATCGACCACCAGGAGCCACGATAGGAACAAGCTCTCCGTGACAACAAACATGAGTTGCTCGTAGGGGTATGATAAAGGGAAATAGCCTGTTCATGCCTCGATGCAGCCGCCAACGCCATGCAAACCACAATCAAACAATACTCCATCAAGTAAATGTTTGTCTGTTTAGAATTAGAGCATCCAACCACTATCCAGAAAATCGACTTTCTGGTTTGACCTATTACATGTTCATCGCCTGCGTAAGAGCCAACCTTTTGCTGTACGGGCTCAAGCTCCGTTCTCTCGCCAAGCTCTGCTTCTCCCCGCCGACCCTGAAGTCTCTCTGAGGCAATGCGTGGCGATCATTGTCGTCGTGGCCCTGCCTACGTCCCCAGGGACCATCGCCGACGTGGTCTTCTGTCTCGAGAGACCTTCTCTGTTTGGTAATCTGGCTCTTGTCCATGCTTGGACTGCTAGTCCGGCTGCGGTGGCTGCCCCGGCGCATGGAGCTGGGTCGACCTCGGTCAATGGGGCTGATAGTGCGATGACGCCGGCTTTTGCGGTGCGAGCGAGGCTCTCGCCTTGGAGATCTCGGTGACCTAGAGTATGAACTGGAAATGGACCGGTGTTTTCGTTTCCGCGGGATGTCAGTAGGCGGTGTTCTCGAGCGATTTCGGCTTGCACGACCGCTGGTGAAGAAGTCATCGTCGCGGTCCCGTGAGCGAGACCGTGATCGAGACCGCGACTTGTTTGTCGATATGGTTGAGACGGAATCTGAGGAGTCTGGGATTGGCGATCGACCCCGATCTTCTGGTTCCGCAACAAGTTTTGTCCGTCTGGCCTCAGCCTCAGCCAATTGCTGGTCAGCCACGCCCTTACTAGGTAACTGTCAGACAGAGATTGTCCCCAGGAATCCGGACAAGCACAGTCACCTGTTCAATAGATTGTTTGGAGTGTCGCTCGCTAGTTTTGGCGCAAGTTTGGGGTTCAAGAGTTGCTGGGTCCTTGATGGCCTGGACGTGTATGGCCGTTCTTGCACGCTTGATTTGCACTCATAACTGTAGTGACGTGAACAATTCGTCAGTACGGATGGCGGCCAGATTGAACAAGAGAGAAAAAACATATCTTTCTTCAAGCATTTTTGGCACACGGTATTGGCGGTAGCCTTCTGCGGCCCAAGGCCCGGAAGGGTGCGATACCGGTTCATCAGAAACAGTCTCCCCTACAAACGGCCAGGGGGGAGAAATGGTCGTCGACCAGTCTCACAGGATGTGGTGATGGTAAAAGCGCAGGCCTAGCAACGGGGAGCGAGAGGCCCGCTTTGTCAGAAGTTATATAACGGGGAACAGTACAGTTCCGACGTATATGGAGGATAACGGTGATGGGGCAATGCGGATGCCTTGAAGCCGATGTGGAATCTGTAACGTATGGACATGGACAGAGCACTACCCACACTGGGGCGGATGCGAAACGTAGCGCATCAAGAATCTGAGGAAGAAGGAGCCGTCTTCGAAGCAGCCGGGCAGGTAGGCAGAGACACAACCTTTACACAGTAGAGAGACGAAACAGCGGCCCGGGAAGAAAGAAGTTGAACGAAGCCCGACTGGGCGGCTTCCCATCCGGAGATGATGGATGGTGCTGGTTGGCCTGGAGTCGTTTGTTGTACCTTTTTTTTTCTCCCTCTCACTGATGGCGAATGGGTTTGGTGGCCCTGTGCCCTGCTGGTTGAGCGATGTGCCATTCCAGAGGTTTCGCAATTACTTTAATCCGCCCCCCGGTGGTAACACGGCGAGACTGACATGGGGAAAAAACCTTGGCATTCACCCTCACGGGCTGCTTTGCCTGCTTGCGCTTTTCGAAGCCTCAAGACTGCCACTGGTCATGCTTTTCCCAGCCTTGACTTCAGTCGTCGCTGTCCACCTTCTCAAGCCTGTTGATCTCCATTGTTGATAGGCACAATGGACTGATCCAACTCCCTTTTCGACGCCGCTGCATCCTGTCAAGGGTCTGATATTTCTCCACTTTGTGAGCGCGATCTCGACGACTCAAATCCCCCCCCCCTCCAAAATAATCCTTCCAAGGTGGGCGAAAGCCTTCACGACAATCTGCTTGTCGTCCTCCTCAATCCCTGCGACCTTTTCACGTCCTACAAAGCCCTGTTACCTCGGTCTCTGACCTGGGTTTCGGAAATCTCCAACATACCATTCCCGCCGAATCCTACAAGATCTGCCCTGCCTCCGCCTCATTACGCTTGACGGCATTCACTCTATCGCTACGCAAGTTGACAGCCCTCAAAGACCGCCTTGCCGAATCCATGGAGCCTTTTAGGTTGTGCTGTGTTGGCTCGTTCGATGAGCAAGACGTCGTGTGAGACCGCGGAAGGAAGAATTGAAGCGTCGACTTTCGCTCGTACAATTCACATTCATTTTCAATCTCAATCCTCAGCTTGATAGCCGTACTTGGCGCTGTTGGATACGACGTGACGAATCTCCTTGGACATCATGGCGTCTTCTCAGGTCGGGCCGCCTCCGGGGAAATTGTCGTTCGCAAAGGTACGTTCGATCTGCACGTGTCACACCAGTTGTGCGTTTCTGACATTTCCCAGGTCGCAGCAATGCGTGCACCTGCTCTTCAAACACCAACCCCTAGTGCTTCTGACGAAAAGAAGTCTCGTCCCGTCGAGAACACTAATCCAAAGGCTGTCCAAACTAGCATTCTGAAGACTCCGACTTCTCCCAGAAAGCCTAGCGTTTCACAGTCGAGAAGTCTGGAAGAGCACAGCCAACCCGACTATTTGACACCCGCAATTGAGGGCCTTTCTCTGGTTGAAGATGCCAGCCTCGTATCAGGCGGTCCCCAGAGTGCGGAAAGCGGAGAATCTCTTGAAGACGATCAATCTCATCTCTCTAATTCTTCAACCAAACAGCAGAGTTTCGATACCAAAAGCATGGCGTCCGTCACAACCTTTGCGATGGATGAGAAGGAGAGCATTCGTCCAGACGACAGTGCCAGCGTCAGGGCCGCAGAGGACGAAGATGCCTCAAATGCACCACACAGAGAGGATCTATCTGCGTCAAATGCTCGTGTTACATCGCGACCGAACAATTCTGGAGTGACTATTGCAGCTCGTCGTTACCACACGTTGACTTTAACGAATCCTCCGAGATTTGGGGATCTTCCCCTTCCCATCATCCAGGCAGAGAATGCGGACCGCCAGCCTCCTTCAGAAGGATCGATAGAGCAGCCACGCGAGCTCCATGAGCGAGCTTCATCACTTCCGCTTGCACCCGATGAGAAGCTACTGGATGCATTAGCTACTCCAAAAGATCGCCTCCCTCTCCTACAACTCGAAGAGAAGTTCCTTGCCTTCATCGCAATTCCTGGGTATGTCTGAGTGTAATTGTCGTCGAAACCATCCGCTAACTCCAACACAGAAATGATTTCCTCGACCTACCCCCGCAAAACTCCTTCACCAGGCTACTTACACATAAACTTGCAGACTATTACTCACTCGCTCATCACATCAATGAAGACGGTACATCCATCCGCATTTTTCGGTCGCCCAACGTGTCAATGTGAGTGCAGCACACACTTGAGTCCCAAAACCCCACTTACTGATATCATTTTGCAGGCCAACACCGCTGCATGTTTTAGCTCAGTCCATTCCTGCTGGGCCATCTCAACCCCCTTCCGCTGCGGGTTTTAAGATCATGCGCAGAGTCGGCCTGGGTCCACGGCAGGGCTCGGCCGATGCCAGTACACCTGCGAGCTCTTCAGTCCCATCTAAAGCCACCTCTGAAGCGGGCTTGGAGACGAACAGCGAGGAAGGCATCATATCTCCAGTGGAGGGGACACCAAACAAGGACAAGTCAAAACTCACGAGAGAAGAACGAGAAGCTCAGTACAAAGCTGCCAGAGATCGAATCTTCGGCGACTTTCAGGAATCGGTGACTAGTGAGAGTGCTTCGACCGGGGAGAACTCGGCAAGCATGTCGCGGTCGAGCTCATCTAGTGGCAAGAGAAAGGCACGCAAGCACAAGACGCCAAAAGACGACAGTTTCGAAGCGCGATCAGCATTCATTCCCAGCTATGCCCCGATGCACGTGTCACATATGCAAGCTCAATATCAGCCGCATTACTCGGATCCGGCGTATCACGGACCATACCAATCCCCGGGTGGCGGATTTGGCGGAAACATGAATTACAGTTCTACGCCCACCCAAGCATATCCTAATTTTGACTCCTCCATGTCCTACAACAGCGCCCCAATGGGCTACGGACCCAATGGCAGTCAGCATTTTAGTCCCGCAGAGTCTTGGTCATCGATGCAGACAGCCTCTTCGAACGGATATTTTAACTACTCTGCCTCGCCAACTACCTATCAGCAGAACATTTCCCCTATGATAGCCCAGATGAACAATCAGTTCATGCCATCGTCACACCCGGGGATGCAACAGCCACAGAACTGGATGAGCAATCAATTCCAAGCTCCCTATCCGCAACCCCAGGGTTCGCAGAGTTCCAGCATGAACGGTTGGTCTAGTTATCAGCCTAGCGCAACCGTCAACAACCCAACAAATTATGGCTATGGACAACTTCCTAGTCAGAACTTTGGCAGCAACGCGAATCACCCGTACAATGCTCAATACTCCAATCCAAGCACCTATCCGAGGTCACTCTTCAACCCACAGACCAGATCTTTTGTTCCAAGCAACTCCACAAGCCGCAATGGCGGTCGCAGTGGCCACAATAACAACAGCACCAACAGCGGACGAAAGAAACCCTCTTCATCCTCGTCGAGCCAGAGTCGAGCGAACAGCATTCCTCCCAGCAAAACGTTTGGTTCTGATGTTTCCGGAACACCTCCACCTGCGCGGGCGTTCGAAAAGGGACCAGCCAGTAACGTATCGTCGCCCAAGCCACCTCCGGTCAAAGAAGACTCACTTCAACAGAAATACGGCGCCCCTGCGCATTTGCCTAAGAAGCCTCCCCCGTCGCAGGTCCCGTCGCTGTACGATGTTGAGAGCATTAACACTTCGGGTACTGGTGGGGTAGGGGTGGGAACGCCTGGATGTGGAAATCCGAGTAATAATGTGACAGGGACGGGACAAAGCAACGGGTGATCGGCATGAGATATGGAAATAGCAAGGAAATTGGACACATACTCGGGCCGGGATGGGCGCAATAGCGCATTGTATGGAACTCTCGACATCTAGTCTCTTTGCCCTAGCAACCGAGGTACTCAAGGAAGGGAATGATCATGTGTCGGACCGAATTGGCTTGGATGAGCAAAGGGATCAATCATGCATGTATCAGGGTTCTTTTCGGACATGAAAAGGACCGGAATAGGCGGCAGGTTAAAACAAAAAGAACCAAAACAGGAATCAATATGACTGGTTTTTAAACAACTCCCCTCCTCCCAATGTCGAACCGTAGGGAATACTCTTCTATATATACTCTGTACCAGAACTACTAGACCGCCCACCGTCCCGAACGTCCACGCTGACGGTCACATGTCCCGCGCCCTGTCTCTGCAGACAAGGCAGACCAAGGCAGGGGAGATAGCGAGAAAAGAGAAGGGAAGAAAGCAAGACGAGAAGAAAGGGGGAAGGGGATCATAATTCGTCCTCGCTGTAGCTTTGGCCAGGTCGAGGCTGTAGTGGATGCTTGAACCGGTTCGTCCGATCTATTCGTGCCCTGGGCACTTTTGATGGTATCTGTCCCAATGCGCCATGTCGTGCCGTGCCGTGCTTCCTGCTCGTGCTGCGGGCGGTGTGGCTTTCCACGGTCGTGGCTATCTACTCCATCCCATGCTCCCGGAAGCCTATGACCCCAACTCCTGCTTGTCTCTTGTCTCGTTGCCCATATCCTCTTTTTGGTTTCTACCTTTGGTTTCCCGACATCATGCATGTCCTTGTGTCCTCGACGCCTTTTTGAATAACACATGTCTTGAGAAGGTGTGGATTACTGTCACCCTTCACTTCAAACCTCTGCTCGTGTCCCGACGTAAATCACGCATTTCTAGAGCCTTGCCGTGCTCATCTTGCCGTGCAGCCTCGTCAATGCTATCGTCGTCATCAGGTTCATCATTTAGCTCCTCGTTTCCGTCCTCGTGGCCCCTCATCAACCCAATGGCCTCTTCTTCACGAGTGGCTTCTTCCCCCTTGGACCGTGCGTGCTCTCTCAGCAGTTCCAATCCAGACGGAG